ATATTTATATTAGAAAAAATAATAAAGTGTGTATGATATAATAATATTTAATATTAATGATTAAATATATGTATATCTTAATGTACATTATTTTATACTAATGACAAAATTGTATCATATCAGGTGGGACAATATACCTTTGAGGAAACGTTTAAAATGCGATTTGCAGTTGCCTTTGAACAGCATAATGCTACACTTAGTGCAGCTACTATGGCAACCCTTAGCGCAGAACAATTGGATACTGTACGTAGGCTCAATAGTCTAGATCTGGAACTCTACGAATTTGCAAAGATTCTCGCCTTTCAAAGATTTAAACGGCTTAGAGATCGTGATCCACATTTCGTACAACGATTCCAACATCTTGGTGAATTACCATCAAGACAAAGTGTCACAGAATTTAATTGGGATTCCGTCATTGAAGATACTACAGAGTGATATGTAAGTACGTTATCTTTATCGACGCCAAACATTATGCTGGATCTGACTATCTTAGGGAAATACCCTTGAAACAGAATGGTTTATATATAAATCATGTAGCTATCTGCATAAAATTTACCAAAAGCACGGAAGTGTACTTGGACGAAACCAAAGAGAAATCCGAGAACCTTGTGATGAACCTGGCTATTCTCATCAGCAACTAAAAGTAAAAGTTGCAATGTGTAATGTTCACAAAAATTTTCTATGATTCATAAAATACTCGTACATTCTATGAAGGTTCTTCCACATATAAGTAACACATATCTTTGGTTATGATTTTACATAGATAAAATTGTTAATTTTTTTTATAAGATTTATCTGCAAACATAATTATTGCCATATGCGCCAAATGATTTTTCTCAAATCAATTTGTACATATATTTATGCCGTTTTTAAATAATTTATATTTTTTGGATTATATATATATACATATATTATATATGAAATTTAGTTCTGTTTTCAATTTATTTACATAAATAATTTTATAACAAATATTGATGTGCAAGTAAACTTACATATTTTAATTGAGTATAACATAATATATATTATACAAAAGTCATAATTTTAGTTAAATAGATATAAAAAATATTTAGGAACAAAATGTGGGAGTACCATTATTTTCTGTTAATTCATATTATTTTAAAAAGTTTATTATTGAGTTTCTGAAAACATTTTCATATGTAAAATTTATATTCTCTTCTTTCAAGAAAAACTAAATTTGTTCAACACACCCACACATATGTACATGAATTAATCTACATTATTGAAATAATAAGTAAAAAGCTTACACTTAAATGTGTGATGTAAAATGTTATGTAAAATGTTAAGATTTGAATATTGAAATAAGCACATACATTCATAAGAAAAAATACAAATCAACAAAACTGCAACTTGAAATGCAAGAATGTTGAATATAATTATGATATTAATTAATTATATTTGCATTGATACATTATATTGAATTTATAATATCTGTTATCCAGATATACATGCAACAAATACTACTTATTGCATGTACTACTGCTAATTATTGCACAAATATTCTAGCCATATTAAAAGAGAAATTATGCTTTGTTTAAAGATATAAAAAGAGCATATGTGAGATCCTCAATTATTTTGCACACTATCAATTTATAACAGGGGAAGCTAAGAAATAGAAATAGTAATGATAGTTTCAACATTTGGTAAAATTTTATGCATTATACAATTTTTTACATCAGGAGCATACATTGTAACTAAAAAAGATGCACACTCATAAGCTTTGAATTACTTTTGTAAATATATATCTCTAAAAGTATATATATATTTTTTAATCAAATTACTTGCAGCATGATTGAAACGAGTCCGTTAGCTTTGTGAAGCTAACACTTAGCATTTTGTATAGTTTAAGTAATAAAATATGACTATGGTAAGCCATATGTAAATCAAGATATGTAAAATGGAAAAAAGTATCCATTTTCAATCATTGGATCTGCACACTGCTCGAGAGATGATGATTAACGGTCCTACACTTGATTAATATAAAATGCTATGCTGTTCATTAATTATGATATTATTTTGTGCTAAAAGAAGTATTGTCTCAACACGTAGATATAATTAAATCATATCGAAAGTCCTCCAAATATTTCAAAAAATGATTTAAATAAATTATTTTATTAAAGGCCTATATAATTTTATCACAAATAACAGTAATGCATTAAATGATCGTCGTTATTCCTAGATTAAAGTTAATCGTACTATTTTAATACAATTAATACTAATTCAATATACAACAAAAGTTATAAGTGCAATAAGACTTGCGATGGGTTACCATTATAAATATCTCATATCATCCAGTCATAATATAAATATAAAATATAGCGATTTTAGTTACATTAGCTAATAATTATAGCATAGGCAAAGGCTCTCTTGAATAATAATGGTCTTTCGAATGAATACAATACGTATATATCTAATAATATATATAGGAAATCGAGTGCCATAAAAATCTTGTAATTAAAAAATCTTTATCATTACAAAAATGCGCAATTATGTTATTTTTAGTATATAGGGATTTAATTATGGCAGATAATGAGATTAGAGATAATATATAAATATTACATTGTTTCAATCGAATGACCTATTTATATTACAAATATATACATATAATGTTAAGTGTGTAAAATTATCAATGATTGTTTAAAGCTACTTTACTATTAAGGACCAAAGAGTTAAGATGTTTCAGCAAGTACTCAGAAAGCTTGCAGCACAAACAATTATAAGAAACTTTTTATACACATTGTTAGATAAAAAGCTCATTATGTCGACGATAAGCGCGAATGATTATCTTAACGTTTTTCGTTTAGCTATCATTTTCATGTTATTAACGGCGCTTATCTGACTGTGATCGATTCTTACATCAGAAAAAAGGCTTATCTATTCGATTATATCAAATGATAGACTGCGGTTTATTTTGGGTGCATTAGAATTTTGTAAGTTTGATGATCTCATTAAAAATGTATTCGTTCTATATGCACAATAATTGAATCGTTCAAATATTCACGTAATCAATAATGTAAAAAAAGAGGTGCAAGTTTTCAAAATGTTTGAAAGGATGAAACATTAGCTTTAATGTTCATTATACAATACTTGTAGCAAGAGAAAAGATATGAAAAGAGAAAGAGATAGTTAATGGAATGCCATGACACTAGCCTAATGAAGCGAACAATAGGCCTAAAGCCGTCGGTACCTTATTTAAGCCATTGTATATACCATACCATTAGTTATTTAAGAATCAATAAATCATGTATACAAGTGACACATATTTATGTGTGATTACATCTATTATTATATACAATTATACAAATAAAAGTATACAGATATTGTAAGATAGACGTCGCGCAGATCGATGTTGTAAGTTCTTTAATTTTAATAAATCTGAAGAATCTTTCAGTTATGTAAAATTTATATTTATTATAAATCTCTTCATTCTGTAGAGTAATGGATCGAAAAATAGATTCTGATATAGCATTAAGCAAATTATTTATTCCACGCATCTCGTTTTTTTAAATACATCCACGCATTATCATGCAATTATTATGACAAACATTTATACTTTGTGACATCGTTTCTTAATACTATGGCTCCTCTTCTATTTTAAGATTTGTTCTTATTAATTATAATTATTCTTAATTTAGTTCCAATGATTAATCAAAATCGTGAAATGGACGAACAATTATCAATTTTGACAATACAGTGATTATTATTTTACTTTTATTTCACTTTTTGTCATTCTGCTAAAGCAACGATTGCTCCAGCATTATTTTTTCAAAGCCCATTGGTAGAGCATAGATAAAATTCTCAAGAATTAAATCTAAAATGGCTCCATCATCAACTAAAAGTTAAAATATTATTGACTAAAAATCAATTGTCACATTATTACTTACTTGTTAAAACAAATATACCTACCATATAACACTGGATAAACTCGTCCCTTTATATTTGTAACTGGAGCATTCATGGATTCTCCATTTAAATAAAAATTTAACTCTATATGGTCATAGGATACTCCCTAAGAAAAATTGTTAGTAATTCTAAAAAGATTCCGCTTGTAATGTAACTCTTAAAAACTACAAGTACATGTATATATTATTCTTTTGATTTTTGAAATCGATACATTAATTTGCTTAAAAGGTTGTTAAAATTAAAAAAAGAGCAATGATACATACAATAACATCCCCTTCCTGTGCAGGATTTTGAATCTTATGGAGTTCTTGCTGGTTATGCCTTATAATACCATCCCAATTGAGTGCCCAACTTTCTGAATCCTTTCCTCCTTCGGCAACATTGAGATCCGTGTCCCTCCTGGCTAGCCCAATAGCCCATATACCACCTTGCTGTATTTTTACTTCAAAATAACTTTTACTTTGGACAAGAGGGGCATTTGTTAAGGCACCACCATTTCCGCATATTCTTAGACCATTTTTCACTATTACTACTTCATTTCCTACACAAAAAAAGTATTGGAACCTGGTATATTACAAAATTTCAATCAGACTATCTTTGTACAATCCAAATGTATATATCAAATATGTAAAAGATATACTTAAAGTAGATTTATAGATAGTACAATTATTTAAAAGATGCACTAGCTTTTATCAGATACATTTCAGAGGCACAATTTTATATTTACATAGGATGGAGGATATAAATCAACAAATGCACTAAAAAAATTGCGATAGATTATTGCATATTAGAATATATCAAAAATGTTTCTGGCGATCGCCTCGCGCAAAAACGATAAAATCTTCAGCAATCGATTGTATAATTGATTTTCTATGAAGAATAAATATGCAAAAAGTAGTGCGTAAATTACATATGGTATGTTTTCTGATGTTTTTCTAGCGTTACGTCACGTCAATGTTAATTCGGGCGATCTGACACTCGCGTGACGAGTGTTGACAGTTACCCATATGAGTCGTGTCTAAGGCGATGGGATTTCGTTCCCGCTTCGGAGCATGAGTCGCGGCGAAGCCGAGGCCGTCAAAACAGTTCCTCAGACAACAAAACATCGTTCTCGATACCGCTCGGGTTTACTATTCGTTCACAAGTGCAGCAAACGCGACATCGTAACGATGTAACGAGAGAAAAGTCCACTCTCTTTTTTTCGCCCCTCGTTTGGGATGTCTCCCGATATTTCGCTTAATTTTTGTCAAAATCCATCCGTAATAATGCGGTCATAGACTGGCGCAAGCTTGACGTTGCTAGACACTGTTCAAACCTACGCATAAGTAAACCTCACAAAAATGGCTTCCCCTCCGAAAATTTTTGATCAATATAAATTATCTTGACGAGCTTTTATCACGTAGCATATGTTATACTTTATGATTCTTCCTCTTATTCTAGCAATGGATATAAATCATTTCAAGATGCGAGCTCTTTGCGAATGACGTAAATTAATGATTGAGGTTAGGTCAGGTTAGGTTTCGTGTCGTAAATCGAGGATGAATAAAATTATGCACACGCATACACTTTTAGCTTGCATATTTGAGACAAACACAATATTCTTTTAGTACCAAAAAGGTATTTATTTCCTTATATTATACAAGAGTATGAATTTATATCCGACTGGGATACAGCATCTGCAACATAAAACAATTTGAATTATTTTTGGTAATAAAAATTATTATTTTTATCTAATACTGAGAAATAATAGGTTTGTTTTTTCTAGCTGAACTGGCTGCACTATTCAGAGTTTATCTTTCTCCTTCCAATGTAGAGAGAAAAAGATAAACTCTGAATTAGTGCAGCCCCAGATTAGCTATAAAAAAAATAGATCTAATATTACATGCATACAATTGATTGTAACAATTATTTATTAAAACGGGATATATATAGAAATTGTATACATAAAATTCATTTATATTTCAATGAGAGATATGTAAAGTTATATATATGTATATGTATTTGTGTGTATATAGAATTATAAAATATAAATTTTAACTTACAATTCTGATACGATGACCCATAGCCTTGGCTGGTAGATTTCTCTTAAATTTTGCACGTACCGATCCACTTGCTCCATGGGGACGAGTGACTTTGCCCCAGATAGCTCTAACCTTTGTCTTTTTTGTGGTCTTTCCAGGTACTGGAGTCTTGTTTTTAGCCTACAGCAATGTTTATACATATGCTATTTATTATAATCTTAATGAACAGAAATTCCATAATGTAAACTAAATCAATATACAGTGCTATATTAAATTTCATAAAAGAAAAAAAAAAATTAAAGATTTTGACTACAAGAATTTTTTGTATGTTCTTGCATCTGAATTAGTGCAGCTAGATTAGCTATAAAAAAAATAGATCTAATATTACATGCATACAATTGATTGTAACAATTATTTATTAAAACGGGATATATATAGAAATTGTATACATAAAATTCATTTATATTTCAATGAGAAATATGTAAAATTATATATATGTATATGTATTTGTGTGTATATAGAATTATAAAATATAAATTTTAACTTACAATTCTGATACGATGACCCATAGCCTTGGCTGGTAGATTTCTCTTAAATTTTGCACGTACCGATCCACTTGCTCCATGGGGACGAGTGACTTTGCCCCAGATAGCTCTAACCTTTGTCTTTTTTGTGGTCTTTCCAGGTACTGGAGTCTTGTTTTTAGCCTACAGCAATGTTTATACATATGCTATTTATTATAATCTTAATGAACAGAAATTCCATAATGTAAACTAAATCAATATACAGTGCTATATTAAATTTCATAAAAGAAAAAAAAAAATTAAAGATTTTGACTACAAGAATTTTTTGTATGTTCTTGCATTCAATTCGATTTTTCTTAAATGTGGATAGATTTATGCGGAGATAGAGTTTATACCTTATATACATAGACACATCGTTTTCCTACATAGAAATCAGAATCTCCTTTAGTACCGGCTCCTTCAATTTTGAGCAATGCGGTATGTTCATGTTGATTGCGCAATCCACGTTTGTAACCGGTGAAAATGGCCTTCGCGTACAGACGTCCGTGCCTCTTGAAGGGCCTCTTTCTCAGAGCCACCGGCGCATCTTCCGCAGCGCTTTCCTTTGTCTTAGGCGTTTTCACTTTGCTTGTCATTTTCTAAAAAAAAATAAAAGATTATGTACAATAAGAATTACATAAATATTCCTCGAATAAAAAAAAAAAAAGAATGGGATTCTACGATTCACATGTTTATAGAAACGGAATTAATAGAACACTTTGTGGTTATGTACAATAACAGTGGATAACGAGAAAACATTTTGTCAGAAATTATACGAAAATGTCACAAAATTTGAGTTAGAACTCGACATTTTTTCAGATGTACATATAACAATATTGAGCTCATGTGATTTATTAAACTATTTACATTTCTATCGTCACACTATGAACGATAAATGCCATATGAAACATGTCGCGGTAATCCGCCGGAATCATTGGAAATTGAGTAACAATATAGGAAATCAAGTAATTGTACGGTAATCTGACATAATGTTTTACAAAGTGTCACTTTTATTTGCGAAGAAAATTAATTACGTGAATCAATTTTTATTGTTAATTATGAGATTTTCTCACTACAAAACGTACCAAACGTGTATCATGAACTAAAAGAAACACAAGAAGGAATGGAAATGGGAGGAAACCTTATGTCCCTCTGCTTGTAGAAAATACAACTAATATTAATAAGTAGCTGGTCATGTGATCGTGATATGAGTTTCCTGAGCAGCATTTTAATTTCATATATTTGTAAAAGTGTTAAAATCATTATTGAAAATTAATAGAAAAATTAATTAATTAATAAATAAGATTGCTTATTCATCAAGTCCCTAGAATCTCTAGAGTCCCTATTTTCTAAAGACTCTAGAGTAAAGTAGTACGTTTCCATAATTTCGTAGGAGATAACGCATTTCTCGTGAAATGTATGACCAATGGTTATAACCAATTTGTCGCGAACCGGCTTTTAGAAAATATAGAAAATGTTGAATATTCATCCGCGCACGACCGGTTCGTAAGTGCGATGGTTATATATCATTTGTACATACGTTCATATGTTCCTATACATATCATAATATTTTTTTCATTTCGTATTTGTAAAAATTGACGTTATATATTTGTATTATATTGATCCGAATAAGAGTAACGGGCTGTACTGCTATACAGAATCCTAGCTGCATATTAAATCGACGACAAAGTTCGAAGCGAATCGAGATATAGCTCTTCTTATCTGCATGTTCTCGAATATGACGAACATGATATCTTAATGCATGTCTCACGAAATAAATATTAATTTTATATTTTTATTTATTCTTTTCATGTCGTTGCTACTCGTTTATATAGATGTGATATAATATTCTGCACAGATATATTACAAGATGTCAGAGGTGTCATAATTAGTATGTAAAAGCAGATACGACGATTAAAATAGAACAGTGACGCCGTAAATTTAGGTAAAATATAACGGGTGATAAATAATTAGATTATGCGGGGATGCATAATTAACTTTGAGAATACTTTATAGATGCTGGCTAGTAAGCTAATTTTTATTTCGCACAATGATCGCCAGCGACATACAAGGCTCCTTGAAGGAAGCTCTGTACGAGACATTAACAGAAATTTTGTCACCGCATTATGAAACCCGCAAAGCTGCGGAACAGAGAATTCAAGCTTTAGAAGTAACAGAGGAATATGGAATACACTTGACTGAATTTGTCGTTGATCCCAATGGGCATTTACCTATTAGACAATTGGCTTCCGTTTTATTGAAGCAATATGTTGAAACGCATTGGTGTTCATTGGCTGATAAGTTCCGTCCACCAGAGCTTAACAATACTGCTAAAAAGAAGATTAAAGAGTTACTACCTTTAGGGCTTCGAGAATCTATTAGTAAGGTAATATTTTATTCAAATAATTTATTTAACTGTAAAAATTTAATTTATTATTTAATTTAATATTACATTATTACATATTGATACAATATTATATATGAATATAGGTAAACAAAATATTTTTAACTTTAGGTACGAACTGCAGTAGCTTATGCAATATCTGGTATAGCGCATTGGGATTGGCCTGAAAATTGGCCTGCCTTGTTTGATGTTCTTGTCAGCTGTTTAAGAGATGAGAGTGAATATGCTGTTCATGGAGCAATGAGAGTCTTGACAGAATTTAGTCGAGATGTCACAGACACTCAGTTGCCCAATGTGGGACCTATTATTCTTCAAGAGATGTACAGGATATTTCAAAATGAAAATGTAAATTTGATAGAAAAATGAAATATTTTTTTCACAATTTTTCTTCTTCACATTGTCATCTTTGTTTTTTGCAGCAGTATTCGATTAGAACGCGTGGTCGTGCAGTTGAGATTTTCATAACAATTACAACTTTAGCTGCTAATATGGGAATTTATGAAAAAGGATTTACAGAGCAGTATCTACAGCCAATCATTCCTATGTTTTGTGAGAAGTTTGTTGAGTGCCTCAGAGTGCCTAACAGCCCAACTAGTGACAGTGGATTAAAAACAGATATTATTAAAGCCATAAATTGTCTTGTTACAAAGTTGCCCAAATATGTATCACATCTTTTACCTCAAATGCTGCCACCTGTATGGGAAACTTTATGTCAAAGTGCAAAGACTTATCAAGAAACAACAGTCAATGCTGATGAAGACATCAATGATAAAGAAGTTGACTCTGATGGTATGTTATTTTGAAAAATATGATATATTGTCAGTGTTATATTTTTTTCCTATAAATACATTTATTTTCTAGGTGAAGTAATCAATTTCAACAGTTTGATTATTGCCATATTCGAATTTGTCCAGACTATCGTGGAGCGCAAGAGGTTTATAAATATGCTAGACAATATGTTACCAGAAATAATATATTATCTAATAATATTTATGCAAATAACATTCGACCAGATTCAACAATGGACAGCTAATCCAAATCAATTTGTAGAGGAAGACGAATGTATGTTCGATTATAACGTCCGTATTTCCGCGCAAGAATTTTTAACAGTGAGTAAAAGCATGATGGATGAAATAATTAAAAAATGCGTTACACGGATTTTAAAAGTATAAAAGTTAATACCTTATCGTTTTCGTTATAGACTCTTATCAATAACTTTGAGGACAAAGCAGTACATGCGCTTTGCGATGTAATTACACGACATATTGAAGCAACAAAGGCACTACAAGCCGGTAATGGCGATGGTAGGAATAGCAACGAAAGTTGGTGGAAATTACGAGAATCCTCCCTTTTGGCATTGAGCTTATCTAAAAATACTGTTGTTGAAAAACAGCAAGCTGGGGTGCTGCAGTTCGATATTATTAGATTTCTAGACACAGTTGTTTTGGGAATGTTAAATGACTCAGGTGATTAATTACACAGCGGGTAACCTATATCCTATTTATATCATTTTGTAATCAATATGCAGAAACATTGTAAAAGTTGTTATGTATATTCTTATTTTTTTTAGAATCGCCACCGTTACTTCTCGGCCGCTGCTTATGTCTCGGCGGACGATACGCGAAGATAATGCCACCAGAAGTGAGTTCCCGATTTCTGGAAGCGACGGTCAATGGCTTACAGGAAAATCAACCACCTTGTATTCGCATCAGTGCTGTTAAAGCTATCTATTGGTTTAGTGAAGCATCAACTGAAAAAGATTCCATCGTCAACATAATACGCTGTCATATGCCCAATATATTTCAAGGATTATTCAGTCTAGTTAGTCAACCGAACACAGATATTCTGATCTTGGTCATGGACACATTTCAAATACTAGTCTGGGTAATGCTCTGACATTTTTCTTTATTATACGCACATTTTTATTGTCATTCCTTTTTTCTTGTTATTTAAGTTATTTGAATCTTATTTGTGTTTATAGCAACATAAAGAATTTACAGCATCAGTGGAAAACAAGATTTGTCCTTTGACAATTGCAGTGTTTGTAAAGTTTCATAGTGACCCGACCATCCTAGATATATGCCAGAACATATTCAAAGACTTGACGCAGAATCCAAGCTGCATCGAGCCGCTGCAAACTCGTTTAATACCTACGCTTACGAGTATGATGGCGATAACTCCTATGAATAAATCAAAGGATGGTACGCTCTTTCTATTGATACGCTCTTTTGTCAAGCCGAATCAATTTGATCGGGCCATTATCTATCGCTAACTCTTTGTTCTTTTTGTCAGAGGGATCTCGATCCGTCGCGTTGGATGTGCTAAAAGTTCTTGTACAATATTCACCGACGCCTCTAAGTAACGCTTTAATCGAGACCGCTTTCCCGGCTGCTTGTCACTGTGTTCTCAACTCGGAGGACCACGCGACGCTGCAGAACGGCGGAGAACTTATACGCAGCTATTTATCCGTGGCGGCGGAGCAAGTCATCGTGCATCGCGACAGCGAAGGGCAAACCGGATTGCAGTACATACTGGAAATAATCGCTCAACTTCTAAATCCGCAGGTAATATATTGTCGCCACAGAAATCGCGCTAATTTTATCGGAAGTTAGGTATATTTTTGCTAGGTAATTACATATGTATACACATGGCGGTATTTCAGTCGAGCGAATTTACTGCCACTTTTGTCGGACGTTTGGTCACGACGCTGATTAAAAACGTTGGGAACAATCTGGGCGAAAATCTTGATCTGTTGTTGAAAGCGGTGCTGAGCAAAATGCAAAGCGCCGAAACATTGATCGTTATGCAGAGCCTGTTGATGATTTACGCGCATCTCATAAATACACAATTCGACGCTGTATTGAACTTCCTGTCGACTGTGCCAGGTCCGACCGGACAAAGCGCACTCGCATTCGTGCTGACCGAATGGGTTAGCAGGCAACGTCTGTTTCTCGGTAGGTACGATCGCAAAGTCGCGACGGTCGCACTGTGCAAGATCCTGGAATACGGAGTCACTCACGGAGATAGCAGGTTGGACGAGATCACGGTTAAGGGGGATATGGTTATTTCAGGTTTGTTATCTTTGAACTATTTTGATTGCACATGGGTAAATAATTGGCCATGACAATGCGACGAAATCAATTTTCTTGATTGCCGCATACAAAATAAAATAATTGAATTTATTTTTGATTATTATTCTAAAACGCAATAAATCGATTTTACTGAAAGAAAGGAAAATATATGCATATATATTTACTCATATTTTACATTCTGATGATTTGCAGCATAATATTGCTGTTACATATAATATGTCTTTTGCGCGAAATAGTAAGTTAGTTCGGATATGTAGGAATCGAAGACGGTGTGAGGACCAGAAGCAAAGCTGAATCACAGCCTTACGAATGGACTTCGATGCCTGTGCTTGTAAAAATTTTTAAAGTAATAATCAACGAATTGGCAAACGATATTGAAATTCTTAACGCCACTCAAGATACGGAAGTAAGCGACACCCGTTTTCTTTCTGTGTGTCTATACTTTTTCCTTTATTTTATTCTTTATATTTTCAATTTTACTTTATCAAAATGAAGACATAATTTCGATGCCTAGAACTCTGACGAAGAGGATGAGGACGAAGACGATGATGAATTGGTAGAGCCCGGAAATGAGACTGAAAATATGTTACGTAAGCTGCATGCGTGCGAATAATCTATAAGTTATATAATCATTAATTATAGATAATGTCAATGAATGTGATTCCTTTATAGAATTTGGAGGCGCGGATGAAGATAATGACGATGAAGAAGATCCAGAGTTACTGCGGGATTCTATTTATCATTTGAATCTCGGTCAATATCTGCGCGATTTCCTATTGAATTTCTCCACTCATCATTGTTTCCGCATGTATATCCAACACCTGAATGTGCCAGAACAAAAAGTCTTGAATATCATAAATATCAATGCGGTTATGTAATAGGAAAATGGTCGGAACAGTTTTTGAATTTCATAATAAACGATCTTTTCTATACTCCTCGACGACGATTCACAATTTTCGTTATTATAAAGTTCGCCAACTATTTCCTTATACATTATTTAGATAAGATATAAAACCTAAAAGGAATGTGTATGCAACACGTACAATTACGATAATCATTGCAATTTGTCGTCACCATTGCATATATTAATGCTATATTTTATATTTGGGTTTTATTTACATTACACATATTCTTAAAATCATTAAATCGCATCTACATACAAAAGACAGCATACATACGCGCAATCGTTTATATGTAACCTAGATCATACAACATATTTTCTACAATATTATATCATCGTATCTAATATTTCTGATGCGCGCATCGCAAATATTATGCAGTGAATTCTCGTCAGAAAGTACGTGATAATCGTTTTTTATCGAAACATCGCATTTGATTCACACATCCATTAGATTATTCTCTTCTCATGTACATATACATACTTTAAAGTACATATATAGAGTCACAGGGCAGTATAGACATTATTGGCAGTATAGGATTCTAGTATTTGATTGTTTTTGCAGGGGAAGGGGGGAAGGAAATATAAAAATAATAATCGCGCGGTTCGATGCACATATGAGTTAAATGCATGAGACTAAAACACAGCTTTACACTTATACCCCAGATAGAGATATCTCAGATTTCGATCTTACGTATCTTTCACGCGTTTCATATATTTCGTTCATTATATAAATGCTTTACAAAAATCATGTAAAAATTACGCAAAACAGCGTGTATATGCTATAATTTGTAAACAGACGAAAAGGTCGCCGTCATATATCGTTTCTCTTTAAACGCACCATTCGATGTCCACGAAAATAAGTCAACAACGATGGAATCGACATTAAGGCGATGGTCCTCCGGATATACATTGCCCTGCCGTGATTTTTATATCATATAACGCATAAAGCAAAAAGATAATATTGCTGCGTATTGCGACGCGTATTAATATATCGCTTATCATACATATCTACAAATCTATTATTACCGATGTCTCTGCGCGTTGAATATTTTTGTCACGTGTATAAAATAATCTACATATATTACGGCGTCGTAAGTATTTACAAGATTAGTTAGGGCGAACGTGCTTATAAATTCCACACATGTCTACATATAATTTAAGTTTCTTCGCTTTATTACAGTGCTTTTTAACATGTCCCTTTCTATCTTCGCATTTTACTTTTATTATAAAATCACAAAAATTATTGAATGTCTCATATACTGCACATCTAGCGAAAAATTGAAAATAAATATTTTCGTCATTTTTATACAATTAACGTTAAATTATTTTTTATTCGCATTAAGAATGAAAGCCATCACATGCATATATACTCGCTGCATATATATTACAAGAACTGCTGGGTGATCGTCCAACGAAATTTATGCGCTTGTATGTATATGTATATTTACACACACATGCGTGTGTGTGTGTATCGAGCGCGGATATAATATCATATAGATTATTCAAACAAATGCTCTATCTTCGAAATTGTCTTTGCGTGATGTAGTTATATTTTCACACGAATTATATAAAACAAACGCATAAATAGTATCACGTAGATAATTCGGGATGAGTGTTACATGCGGTAAAATATTTCAATGTTTTTCTCGCGTACTCTCTATATAAAAGTCATCCGTAAAAATATATCTTTACGCGCTATTCCGTATATTTCTGCGCGACGAACGATTGACTTGGAACTAACTAAAGACAGAATGCAACGGAGTTTGCTTATACCGTAGTAACCGACAGTAGACCCATTAATTTCCCCCCCGTGCCGGGACCCCCTGTTCCTACCCTGTTTCCGTGAACCAACATTTCTTGCACGGTGGTGAAATCGTCCAGGGTCGTCTTTTTACGCGCCATTTTCTTGTGACTGAGCTCCACGATGCTTAACGGCTTCTTCGACGCCTTATCCTCTGTATGTTCGCATATCAGCAGATCGTTGGTTTGTTGCATCTGCTGCTGTTGCTGTTGCAACATCAGTTCTTGCTGTCGCTGCTTGCGTTCGCGCGCGCGTTCTAGCTGCCGTTTGCGCTCCTCCTTGCTCCAATAGCGTCCGACCTAGAATAGTATGCAAATAAAAATTATAATGAATCGATTCTAATGCAAAAAAACCAAAACCGGAATAACAAATTGTATGTAGATTATTTGATCAGTATCGCAATCGCGGCGACGCTTACCTTCATCTCCGACATGGCATCATCCTCCGTGGTGTGACCGGCCCTCTCCTCGCATATCTTGATCGCCCGATTTCGTAGTATCCGATTTCTCACGGGCCTCCTGGCGATGTATCTCGTCCCATCCGCTCTCCTCTTCACCTTCCACTCCATCTGCACCTCGCCCTTGTCCTCTGGCGGTGTCCATGTAGTGGACGTGCACACCTGTTGACTGCCGACAAACTGGTATTGCGTTAGATTCGGCGCTTGGAAATTGCCATGCGACTTGGACTTTCTCGCCCCGCCCGCTGATGTCTCCTTATACGTTGTAAAATTTTTCCGATTGAGCGCCTGCTTGAACAGCTGCTGCTGCAACATCATCGTCTGTTGCAGATTTGCCACGTTCGTATACATAGTATCGGCTGGCAGCGTGTTGGCGTTCATTGACAGCTCGTTACGATCCTTGTGATGATGCGAGGATGACGACGAGCTCTTTCTCACACTCTGATTCTTCAACGATTGCCTAATCGTCGCGGACGTTGCGCTCGGCGTCACTGGCATAGGACAATTGCAGCCCAGCTTCTGTTGCTGCTGCGGTGTCTTCGGCGGTGGACACAATACCAACGTGCTTTTGTGATGATCTCTCTCGCCCTGTTGAAGCTCTAAAGTTAGAGGATTGCTATGACAGGATTCGCCAGTGTTGTACGCGCTCGAGCTGTCCTTCTCCTCGCCGGAACTGTTGCTCTTTGAGGAAGACCACTTTTGGTTTTGTTGTCCTCCGGCAGACAGGTGATTCTGTGTTGCGCCACCGCTGTGCTGCACTTGCGTAGTCACATGGTTCGATTGCTGCGTCCAATGTTGATGGTGTTCGTACGGTGACGAGTAAATTGGCTCGCTGTCCGACTCTGGTATCGTCTCGTAAATGTGTTCCGTGTCGCTCCACACGTGGCTCGAATAAGCCTCGACGAGCTTCACCGTCGGCAGTGCCGTTGGCGGCGGCGGCGGTCCAGGTTGTTGACTACGTAGCGAAATACCCTCGAGCCTCTTGGAGCAATCCTTCAACGAGTCTTGCATCCACTGCTTGCTACGCTCCTCCGTATGATGCGCCGGCGAAGTCGCATTTTTACCGCTTGACTTTTGCGAGTTTTGTGACGAACACGTGGACGAGGAGTTTGTGGAGAAGATGTTGACGGACTGCTGCTGTTGCTGAGTGTGAGAAGGTATGGGTGGAGGCGCTTTCAAGGTGCAGTTGTTTATCTCGGTTTCTTTGGTACGTTCTTCCGTTTGCTGCTGTTGTTGACGGATCAGTTGCTCGATCATGCTGTTCTGGTACGCTGGCAGGTTTTCAGGTGAAAGCGGCGGCGATCCCTGAAGCGGAATGATTCGTGATAGATAGCGATATACGCGATAGCGCGCCAATGCTAAATAGTTTTTTTTGTCACTTTACATGATTCAACTTACTTGATAGATGCGCCTGTCATCATATTCGTCGTCCTAAAATAAAATAAATAAGTTATATAATTTGTAACACATAAAAAATATACCTTTCATATATTTTTAATTTATGCAATCAATTTATCAATGTTTTAAGAGAGAGCTCTCATGTATTATTTTTTATTTTATATGCATGCATATATATGCGAAAATTTTCCTAATCTCCATCAAATATTTCTGTATTATATTTTTTTATTATATATTTTTCAAAGTTTACTTCTTTATTATATAGTTTCGTTTGTTCAATTTATATACATATGATAAATAACTGCAATAAAATAAGAAGAATATAAGATTAAAACGAACTTGATATACACATCGGCTGACGAGAATTGTTACCGCAGTTTTTGTCTCCGCAAACAAATTCTCGGTCTGCTCCTTATTCGCGACATCCCTGCCGTTGACCTGGAACGAGAGCGAAGAGGTTCCTTTCAATGAATGACGGGCCGCTTCTTGATTTCCGAAATGAGTCACTGTTCTCGCGAGAAATGTACATGCATAATGAAACGCCGTATTCTGAATGTAAATCCGGCTTAGAGAAACCCTCCGAACCCCCATTAATTATTTCAATCAAGTGTGTGTGTGTTCCTTAATTCAAAATTTTAATTTGATGCGATTTATGTGATAAAAAAAAAACACGATTTAATATAATCCTGTCTTTTTAATTAATCAAGAATACGCTCGATTTCCTTCTTTTTCTCCGGCGTTTTCTTGAGAGAAATCGCGTTAAATAGGCAAGGATAATTTTCGATAAGATGTCGAATAATGTCACACTAAACCAGAGACGGGAACACGCTTCGCGAGAGCTCGTCGACAAAGGAATCTAGAGAGACATACAGACAGACAACGACAAATCCATCGTATATATTCATCCACTGTACTCCATCGCATTTCCCTTCGACTCGAGTGCGAGAGAGAAAGCAAGCACGGTTCGTAATTATAATCTGTTTAATGAGATTTAGAGGCTTATGCAGCTTAGGAGAATCCTCGACGGAGATAATGAGGCGTCAACAGGAAATTCGCGAACGTCATGGATCCGCTGGGGATCCGTGATGCAAAATTTTGCAATCTCGGCCAACGACGTGATCTTCGAACAGAGGGTACGCGTATGAGCTCGGTGTAAATTCGCTATTATTAGCAGGTAGGCGCTTTATATGGGGTATGTTTGTATTATTGCTCCTCGGGGGATTTTGCACAAGTACTTCCGCGTTTACCTCTCTTAGCCTATTAAATTTATGCGATACATCACATTCTATATTATCCTTAACTTCCCTCGCTGAATTTCTCGTTGAGCTTCATTATATTACACGTTTTCCACTGATTCAGTTAAAATATCACATCCGAACTAATGGAAGATATTTAATTTTTGCCAATTTTAACAATAAAATTGAATCTTCTTCCTGTATTTGCAAACACTCACAGTTCTTTCCGCTTTTTAGATTCGAGATTTTATGATTAATTTGACAAAATATCACGGAATTATTTTCATATCTAAATAATGTAAAATAGAAAAATTATCAAATTATCAAATTTTATATATAAGTAAAAAATTTATCTCTCTTTCCAATTATTAACAAGTGCAAGCTCTGACGGATATTGTGCGTTTATGAGTTTTATAGTTGTTTACATTTTCTCAATTTTGTTCTAATTTTTGGCGAATTGTGTACTTAATGTGATAACGTTTCTAGAGAATGGAGAATGAAATTTCTCTCTGAATTTACCCGCAAGATTTGATCTCCTTCTCGCAACCGACCGTCCCGGGCTGCGAGACTTTCAGGAACTATTTCCGAGATATAAACCTCTGTGTCGGCGTCCTCGCTGCCGGAACCGGAGCTATAACACACGGTCAGCCCGAGCTTCTCGGCACTTCCGCTTTTCCGTAACGTCACCTCCTTCAACAGCATTTCGTAACGATATTAATATTCGCCATAGTAGACAATGTTGGGCGAAACTAAATATACTCATATATTTGCATAAAGTCTTCCTCATTAACTGATATTATCATCATTTAACAAACACATTAGCAAAACGAGATACATTGTTACACATAATCTATAGGCACACATTATAATTTTCATCGTACCTACATATTATTTTCTTTCAAATTTTACTAAGACACAATCCTTTCTTCTAATACTCTGTATTTTTTATTACGTCGAATATTCTCAAGAAAATAACAATATAATAATAAAGATATTTTTTTAAAAATATCTTTTAAAAAAATCTAAATTTATTAATAGAATAAATTCCCATTTGTCACACCCCCTTCAATGTGATGAAGCTTTAAATTAAACTGTTTCGAATATTTTTATATTGTATTAGAAATAAAATTCGATATAATTATAATCGTAGGATACCTCAAAGTCGATATCTTGAGTGAGAAAGTCCTCGAAACTGTCATTCGCTTGTTCCTCGACTACGAGGGGAACCGGCAACAACTCCTCCTCTTCTATGAGACCAGCCCAGTCCGTTTGGACTGCAGTCGACACCAAAGGACACGCCGTGTCCTTTTTGACATCGTCGTTACACATACGTTCGTCTATCGGGCCCCTCCCGTTCGTCGTTCCCTCGTTCTTATCCTGACATGCGATCCTTTCGTGCTCCTTCGAGGGCGTGTGAGGAACCTGTTGATGCCCGCCTGGTTGTCGTCGAAGAACTTCGACGATAATTGGCTCCTGAGCCGATTGAAAGCAACGCACAGCATCCTCGTGACTAGAGTTTGAAACGTCCTGTCCGTTTACCTAAAAAAAAAGGAAAGTAAAATTGAGATTATTTTCAAATATTTCATGTAACACGCATTAGAAATATGACAATACATATTGTCATCGAATATCGAGCGGATGGACGAGTTTTTTCTATCGACGGTCGAGAAAATGTAATGACGGGCGTGGGGGGATGTCTCGTCTTTCCTCCCTTCTCTCTTCCTGCTTTTAATTAAAATATACTGTTCCCCGAAGGGAACATAGAGACACCTCATCGTTCCTCATAATTGCTTTCTCGCGCTTTAATGTCCAATTAAATAAATAACTCGGTGCGAGACGTCGTCAACGGTACGGCGTGGAAAATGCTGACGACGAGAGGGTGGACAGGGGTAGATGAGGATGGCGGTGCTGGGGGCGCGAAGACGTCGTCGATCAGAAACATAGGCGGATTAATTAAATGACACGCCTGATGGTCTAAATTAATGCACGTAGGCCGGTAATTAATTTTCAAGAGTAACTTGTGCGACAAGTCTTTCCTTACAATTCGGCAAATTGGTTTCTCTTCTTCTCGAACGGCGTGGCAAGATCATTTTAATCTTCCGACAAATTAGATGAGGCAAAATTGGAGAGAGTAAATCCGGTAAAATTCTAATAAATTAAGCATTAATATCGCCTCATAATTGCCAGCATAATTTTATTTGTAATTTTTAGTTATATTTTTGCTCTTAAATAATTAATCGTAAAAACCGAGAAAAAATATCGATGTCATTCAATATTTGTTTAATCCCAGACGATTGTCAATTTAATCAAATTAAATAGAATTTTTTTTCATTGTGCAATATTAGACATTTAATATCCTGTAGAGAGCGATTAATTGTGGATTGATACATATCGGTTTAGTGCTCGCGCGATTTGTTCTCATTCGTTCGCTCTTAATTACTTTTTGGGAGGAACGGTGTCTCTAATTAAAGGGCTCTAATTAAGACCCACTTGAAAAATGCTGGTTCGACCATCGATCGGATGCGCTGGTCAAGGAAGTTGAGACGCTTTTGTACTCCGGTGAAAAACCCGAACGATATAACCCTCTATTAACTCTAATTCCTCCCATGGGCACGATCATAACGTCCGATCAAACATTTGCTTTTACCAGAGAAGACCTCCGTGACGCCACGCTTATACCCGGTACCAGGTGGCACTTAATTTCGCACTAAATGCCAGGATTTAAGGATTTGGAACGGGACAGGGCGGCTTAACGAGCCGAGGACCCTCGACGTTTCAATTTGGAGCTTACAAACCGCCAGAGTGTATTCCCTACGCCGGATAATGATAGCCTGGCGGTTTTCTGTAATCGTGAAAAATCTTTTCGAAGAGCTCCATCGCGAGAACTCTATAAAACCCCTATATATAAATCAGTCTATATAAATCATTGTAACGTGATAGCATTTAGAGAAGGTAACACGCTGAGGAAAAAATAATGACGGAATTTTTACGTTGCTAAAAATGATATTATAATCTCTCAATTTGTATATATTTCACATAAATCGAAAATTTTTATTATAATTGTGATATTTTTATGAAAACTTATATGTTATTTTAATTAATATTATATATTATATTATATTTTTATTTTAGTATTTCTTGTTCCCTTTTAAATTTATAATTTAAAAACTTTAAAGTTGTCATTTAAAACATAGTATAGCAGTTATAAATCGTTCAACTCTTGATGGAGCGCAAATGGATTTATATACCGAATAGGGTAGTCGTTATATTGATGGTCGCAAAAAATATCGCCAACATGCATTTATTAAACCAGTACTGAAGTATCGCGAATATTTGTTCACTCGAAACACGTAGTTTTGATTGTCCACGGTCGATCACAAAATGGAATTTCTAACTGCTCGCTTGACTGTTAATTTCCAACGGAGGGTTGAGAGATTCGCAAACATTTACACTTTACCAATCGCGATATTGCCAAGTGCTGATGAATTCCTTGCCAATCAAAAGATGGAAAACCATTTAGATTCATTTTGTTGGGATAAAAAAAAAACGGAGAAGGAAAGTCCAATCTTTATCGCAATTTTCTATTCTATCGATTAAATATTTCTCCGATTGAAATTATATATATATATATATTATCTTTATTTTAAAAATAATTACATCCGTGAAAATAAAAATATTTTTTTTGATCATACATCGCTTATGAGTTATTTAATTAGAAAGAGATGAATATCAATTTTGTACCTTGAAATTTTAAAGCACAAAAAATTTAAATAAGGAAATAATTTGTTAGGATGTGCTTAAGCTAACAGCATTTTCACATTGCAGTTATGCCGCTCTCGAAATAATCTACTCGTGTGGAAAGCAAGCTCTGCGGCATTGTCTTTCAACTTTTGTCTAGACGTTCTAATGCTTTGTCTTCTCCTCGTTGTCGGCTTCACAAGACGAAAGTTATGAACAATGAATGGTTTCGCCACTCTACGCAATCTATTAAAATTAACGAGGTCTGGCGTGAAACGTCTCCTCGTGAAATTATTAATCCTCCAGTGATCTGTCGTTCATTACTTTTTCACGCGGGTTATGAATCTAAGACTACTTGTGCTTCCTTTAACTTGCGCGTTCAACGGGGTATCCTTCGGTTATTAAACAGAAAAGTATAACGCTTGTGTGTCACCGATATATGATACATCCATTAAAATTAATGATATTCGCGCGTTGGTTCGGTTAAAAGACTTTCTGTGAGTTTAACTATTCTCAACCGGAAATTTTGTGATCATTGCTTTGAATTCTCCAGCGGTTAGATGATTCGATCTTTGATCACGGTTGCAGATAATGTCAGTCATCAGCGAGATACGAATTTGCAAATAATTACGCCGTTTCCCTTTCATGTTTTCCGTACGTGCGGGTGTCGTCGCATTTTAATTAATAAAACGCGGAATCCTCGCAAATGAGAGAAACCAACGCTCCTAACAGAAAATTTATCGTGCAGAGAAATAATATCTATCGGTCAAAAATTTCTTTCATTTAAACGGACCGTTTTTAAACGATTGTATGTCTGAAAAAAGTGACATAATATTTTTAATATTATTCATTAAAATTATATATACATTGATTGAGAAAATTGCTAAAGAACAATTTTCTGTGCAGAGTAATATAATTTTGTTTTTTAGCATTTACCAACTAGTGTATATATGTATATCTGCATATATTATATAATTAATATTATTTATTATACGATATACATATACATATTCTAAAATTTTAATAACGTGAAAAATAAGGGATATATAAACACCTTTTAGTATCGTTCATTTGTTTACATACTTCACTTTCTTTTCTAAAAAGTCAATCACTCCGCTAAAAAGAGACTAGTGTATTGTTTACCTGTGCTCCTTTGTTATATTAACGCTTAAAAAGCATGAGTATCTTGGCGTACTTAGCTTGAAGTATGCAAACTGCTTTTTGTTCTCTTCAAGAATAGATCTGAGAATGTCTTGATACTGACTAACTAACGAGGCGTCTCTCTCGACTATAATTGCTTTTATTGTTGCATGATCTTTTACTTTATAGAGATTATGCTATTAATTTTACGATTCGATTTTTTGTGAACACAGTTTGACGAACATGATTTTTTTTATTCACTAAGTGTATGTATTGTATAATATTTTTTTCTTTGGACGATATCTTGAAATTAATATTTTTATTTTTATTTCTCAATGCTGTGTTTGCATTTTTATAGAATTGAAAGAGATATAAACGTTTACCGGGCAAAAAAATCTATGTAAATTCTGAGGATCTTTTGAGATTCTTTCGAAGACTGAAATACTAAGTTATGTAAGAGATGCGACACAAGGATATCTTTTGCCGAAGATGTAAGGCGTGAAAAGTGCGGTTGACATATCGTTTTTCCTATGCAAGGTGACGCCTTTATCCGTGACCCGTGAACTTTTATAAAGAGAAAGAGAGAGAGAGAGAAAGTAAAAGAGACAGGAAGAGAGAAAGCTATGTAAAAAAAAGTCGCGGTAACTTGCTCCGAAGTGAGTTCCACGTAAAAATACATTGCAGCATTTTTCCCTTCACTTCTTTTCCGCCCGATTGGGCGACATTCTCTCAAACAGCTGATCAATATCCAATCAAGGGAGGCTGCTGATCGACCGCTTGTCTATCCGTTTATTACATTAGACCCTCAAGGGGACTCTGAAGCACTTTGCCGTGAATATTCGAGCCTTTGACGGAAGACGTACGGCGTAAACCCGATTAAGTAGTATTAAAAAGACCCCTCCTCGATTTTAGGCGCGCCCTTCTTACAGGCCGGCGACCCTTCGTTAGAGACGCCCGCTTCGTCTGACAATTTCGAGGTGTTGATGACTACTTACGACGAAGAAGTAGATAACCGCGTGAAAATTATTTTATTTTTAACGTTTAAATTTAGATACACTTGTGATGATCATATATATATATATTCAGTACTACTATTTTTATTCATTATATAATTATATAATTATATGATCTCTTGTGAAAAATGACGTGAAATCAGTTTGAAGTGTCTGAATTTTTGAAATGCAAAAAATAACTCAAGATCAAGATTACTTAATCAATATACTCGGATGTGCTTTATTTTAGTAAATATGATCTCTTGTGAAAAATTACGTGAAATCAGTTTGAAGTGTCTGAATTTTTGAAATGCAAAAAATAACTCAAGATCAAGATTACTTAATCAATATACTCGGATGTGCTTTATTTTAGTAAAAGACTATTCTAAGATATCTCTTATCGAACGAAACGACAGAACGCAAGGAAAAGCATATAAAGGATATCCGCGGATACGGCGCCGGCGTCGCGTCACGATAATTCTTCCGACAACGGCGCCCCGTGTTTCACCGTGCATCCCACGTGATTTACAATCTCTAGGACTTCGTATTTCATCCCGACTCAAAGGGGGGGGGGCGTGAAGGGGGAGAGGAGGACGCTTTTCTCGTACAAGAAACTCTTTCACGGGCTATCGGCTCTTCTCCGCGTGCACCGTCTGCTGCTTCCCTCGA